TTTTGCAGAGCCGTGAAACTCATGATTGATCCGGAGTTCATTTAGGAGATCATGAAATATTTCTAGTGTCATACGGAACATATTAAAGAGCTGTGCTGGATGGCCCCGTAATAACTCACCAACCCATCTGTCTCCTACTTGAGTTGAAGTCATACATGGGTTTCGGTCAACGTATTTGAGATAGTAATAATACAATAAGGTCAAGGTAAACGCGACTGTGCGTATGTGGTGGATATCTTCTTCATCCATACTACAAAATTATTAAAAATTAAAGGAATTAACTTTAGTAATGAAAATAGAAGTATGCTATGAAAGAAAAATAACATGAACTTTGGGCAAAATAAAAACAATATATAATAAAATTGGCCACACATAAAGAACAATCACATATAAAGGTCAACTGTCCAAAACATCAACAACGGAGATTAAAAAAATGTGCTTAACATTAACATAACATAGAAGAATAGAAAATAAAGTCCATTAAAAACTCAAATATTCAGACGTCCATAAAAGATCGCAAGTATTTCACATGGTATTTCGGTTTCAACTTCATAAAATACTGTCCGATGGTTGGATCTCGTAACACCTTCACGTATTGAATGTAGTCATCATCATCTGCCTTAACATCAGAATATGTATTCAGGACCTGAAGACACTCATCAATTGAGCTGTCTTGCGAAGAAGAAGACCAAGCTTTACATGTTTCAACAAGTGCATCTATAGTGCCTTTAATGAAAGCAACCCCTTTGTTCTTCTTTTCTACCCTGGGACGCTTGGGCACACTTGTGGATTGAACATCTGTGTGAACATGGCTAGGGTGGTCTCCTGAATCACCTATCTGCATGGTATCCATCTCTTGAACTGAGCTGCTCAACCCTATATCATTTGGGGTAAACGCATGAGTTCCTGTAGCGACAATCCTAGTGAACATTCCATCTAGTTTTTCCTCCATTACTGGATCAATGCCAACAAATTTAAATTTTTTAGCTGACGGCACTGCCTGTTATAGATAATAAATGTGCATTAATAAGGTAGTGTCAGGTCAATGCGAAATTAGATTAAACATAAAGTAAAAATATTAAATTATGTACCTGTAGTTTTTCAGCCCACCATTCCTCTGGTGCATCTATTGTGCACTTAATAGGATCCCAACCCATTCCTATTGATTCCTGCTTTAGTTCTTTCCATAGTTTTCAATCCTTCTTTAACTGGTCCAATTTGTTCTTCATTTTCATGCGATCGTAATCTCTTCCAGTCATTTCTTTGAATTTAACTAAAATACTTTGCCATCCTTCTTTGTTAAAAAATGTAGTGGGTCTATTTCCCACCTCAACCTCCCTTACACATAAATCACAAAAGATTGTAGTAACTTCTCTATCCCACATGGCCGATGTTCCAGCCTCTCTAACTTTACTCATTGAGTTCTGTCAGATACATGGATAGGCATAAAATGTTTCTTTTCATGACAAAAAAATCATAAAACAGAAGAACAATGTAAATATCTACTTTGGGAAATGTAAATATGAAAAATGGCTTGCTCTGGTTTGAAATAGCATGAACTATCTTATTTTATTTGCTTATTTAAACCTTCTCTATTTCTTCTACTTTTGGGGAGAATAATTAGAAAGAAATTAGGATACATGATATAACATCCATAAATTTCTATGAATTAGGTACCTACGAGGATTTCTTGAAGTATTTAAGCAAACAAAGAAACAATAGAAGTTGATACATCTATGTATAATTGATGCAAAACGACCATGAATTAAATGAAATGATTATATTTTGCTTTAAAATTAATGTCATTTGTTCAGTTTTCATTTCATTTCCTTCCATTTACATTTCATTTCATGGTAATTAGGGTGCTCCCTTCTATAGCTAAGGAACAAGGGTTGTATTAGAGGGGGATTGTTCTTCTTCAGTTAAATCAAAGAAACATACTAATAAATAAATATTAGAAGCCCATAACGAGCGTCCTTCCTATGAACTTCATGGGACAACAAGGAAATAATTAAGCCAGATCAATAGAAGCAAAGAAAAAATGGCCTCAAAGAACAAATTTTTGCATAAGGTGTGAATCGTTGAGATTTTAGTTATTAGGATAAATGCTTACTGAAAATATCAAAATTGAAACTTTCACATATATAACCTCTGAATTTTAAAAAATAGAAAAAAACTTAGATTGCAAATAAGTTTTGTGACAACCTTTTGGTTTGTTGAAGAAAATCCGCAAGAACTGGCTTCGGAGAGAACTGCCTTTGACGGGAGCGAGAATATACGGAATTAAACAAATCTCCTAGGTTGCACTCCAACATCAAATATACAGAATGTTAATCAAAAGTCATGTTAAATCGATTAGCAAAGGCTTATACTCACCACCGTGCTCTTTGCAAGATTTAAAAAAAAATAGGAGAACATCAGTTTCATACCGATATAATCTTAATAAAAGCGAGATCACTAAAGATTAACTAAGAGAACATCAGTTGCAAAAAGAACCTTCAAACCCCAGCAATATAAGAAAAAAAGATAAAGAAATCCAATACAGAACGGGACATATCAAGTACTAGGATCAGATCAAATATGTCAGGATTGAGCCTGTAAAGCTCCAAAAATAAGAATCTGAAAAATCAAATGATTATTGACGGATGAAATCATGGATGCTTCTTCATAAAAAAAACTCTATCCTGCATATATATTAGCAAGCAAAATAAAGAAAAAAAAAACACGAAAATCCTACAAAATCGCACTGTATACTTCAACATGCATGTCATCAAACCCTATTCTCAAGCTCCTCCTCCAATTAATCATAGGGTTAAAATCCAATTTACACAATATTAATACTTAGCAAGAAACCCAATAACCTTCCCCTCCCCCGCTGAACAATATCGAATGGAAATCAATGATTAAAACTAATTGTAAACACAAAAAAAGAGGCAACATGCTTACCTAGGGATAACGGCGGCCCATTTGAGCGGAACGCGAACGGCTTCACCTCGATCAGTTCCTCTTCGTCATCCACATCAACCGCTTCGTTAACGTCAGTCTCGTCCTCAAATTCCCGAAAATCAGCCTCGAAATCATCTTCATACGCCGCCCGTCGAATCTTTCGGCTTCCCTTCTTCTTCTTCCTCAGATCCGGCCAGAGATAGTCGGCGGTGACCCTCTGTGGCCTCGCTGTTGCGATGTAATCCGAGATAATCGCGCCCCCGCACATACCGAAATGAACAAGAAAACTCCACTTTGCTGGTTTCTTGGAAAAAAAATTGCGCTGCACGAACAGCTATAAGAGCGCCGCCTGTAGGTACTGAACTGCTAAAAATGTGTGATTGGAGGAAAAATAATCTTATCTAAAGTGAAATTATTACAATTCTAAGGTGTTAATATGCAAAATGCGTACCACTTCTCTTGTGATTCAATGAGAATATACTCAACAAATTTTCTAAGTAATACACCCTTAGCTTAGGAGCATTAGCTCAATGGTCATTATCCCTTCCTTGTTGTGTTCAGTTTATTTTAATGTAGGTTTATGGACCATAGTTATGTGGGATTGAGTTTCAAATGAGTTCTTGAGTTGTGGTGATGTTCTATTTATTTTAAATTTGTTTTTAAATAATGTGAGTTATTAATTAGATGTATGAACGAGAATTTTTGAGTTTGGGTAATTAAGGAGTTTGAAAAAAAAAATTTGTGCTTATAAGTAAGTCATAAATATTTGAGCTCTCATCTTGCTAGGCAAAAAAAATGTCTTAAATTAGCTTGAGTTCCAACTCCTTCTATCTCAACTAATTAGCACGAAGAGTTTGCTTATTTATTTTATGTGCTAGCATGCTTGTAAATTTAAAAATTTTAAGGAGGTGTTTGCAAAAGAAAACAAAAAAAAACTTAATTATTGCAACATCAAACTTCCATAAACCTTAAATTTTTAATCTTTGCTTTCTCATATTCCTTAATAGTACATCTTCACTACCTCTTTCTCTTTCATCTAATTTAGAAGGGCTTCGTTTTTTTTTTCCCCAACTGAGTTGTCATTTGTTATACCGATGATGCTCATTTTATGGTGTATTGTTATCTTCTTTACCTGCAGTACTAACAACTTTGTTGTTCTTGAGGTGTTATCAGATATCATATTTGTTTTTGACTTCTGAGATTTTTATCATTCTCATTTTTCTCTTTTCCTTCACTACTTCGAATATCTTTGTCGTTGTTGGGGTCTTATGTGATATATATCATTCTCTCTTCTTCTCACCCTTCCATTAAACGAGCTTGCATACCGATCATTATGTTCTTCATCATTGAAAAGATATTGCTTCATGTATGATTGCAAGGTTAAGCTCAACAATTAGTTCATCAAGCTTTTCTTGGTTTACAAGTTTAAACTTGAGCTTTGAAAGCAAGCTGAACTCGAACTTGAGCAATAATTCAAGCTAAAGAAAAGGATGTGTGAGTTCTTACAATCATGGTTTTTACCCGACTCAACTTAAATATATATTGAAGTTAGTTTTTTATGCACATCATATCTTTTTTTAGTATTATTATTTTATTAAAATAAAAATGATAATATAATTCATTATTCTAATAAATTAATTTCATTCTACCATTTTAAAAAGCAAAATTAAAAAATTAAATAAAATTTGACTTTCAGGTTCCAAAAAGATGTTAAATGAATACATGATTTATTTATTTATTTTAAGAAGAATTAAACATGACATTATTACACTTATATGGTAAAATACTATAAAGTAATAATTCTGATTGTGTGTTCGAAAATTTATGACATTAGAAAGAG